ATCGTAGCAGCAAATGGGTTCTTCTTTCCGACCCCGTTTTACAAATCCAGGGTGACAATTGTCCACACATTTGGACTGAGGCAGAGACTAAGCAGAAAAACAAAAATCATTCCAAAATATCTCCCAAATTTTTATTTATTAGATTGATTAAAATAATATGAAACTGTGCTTTAAAAAGAAAGTTCTGAGCAATAGATCAGGAAAACATAAAATATTGCAAAGCAATATTTGAAATTGATAAATTGAAAATAATCCAAATCCTTGTTCCAGTTAAGATATAAAGAAACAAAAATTCTCACAAACTAGGGCTGTCAGCCTCAAATGAGGCATTATTTAGTTATATCTGTACATTTATATTTTCAATTCATAGAGTGAAATAAGACATCACAGGGACATGATGGCTCAGTGGCTAAAATGCTGAGCTAGCCAATCAGAAAGGTCGGCAATTGGATGGTTCGAATCTCTAGAGCTGCATAAAGGAGTGAGCTCCTGTTACTGATCCCAGCTTATGCCAACCTAGCAGTTTGAAAGCACATAAAAATGCAAGTAGAAAAATAGGGACCACCTTTGGTGGGAAGATAACAGCGTTCCATGCGCCTTTGGCATTTAGTCATGCTGGTCACATGGCCACGGAGATGTCATGTAACAGTGCTGGCATCACCCCCTAGAGTCGGGAATGACTAGCACATGTCCAGGGTGATATGTGGCTTTCAACCTCAAATGAGGCATTATTGAGTTATATCTGTATGTTTATATTTTCAATTCATATAGCTGCCATGCTGGTGAAAAACAAAACAAAACTAAAGATTACTGTCTAGTTTTTGGAATTATAGTGAGGATGAGTAGAGGTGAAATCATGAATATGTGTCCCTCAAAAAGGGTAAGTAAGTCATCTTTTGCTGCAGCACATGGGACATGCGCATGACTCCTGTGTGGGAAAGGGATATTTCTAAGGCCAAGTGAGGTATTCAAAATGAGGTCCTTTTCATTGAACAATTACAGTTTTGTTGTTAATTGCTAGTTGTGTCCAACTCTTTGAGCCCCCAAGAACAATGGTGGGATTCAAACAATTTTACTACCAGTTCTGTGGGTGTGGCTTGATGGATATGGCTGGGGAAGGTTACTGCAAAATTCCCATTTCCTCCCGATCAGCTGGGACTCAGGCGACAGAGAATAAATGGGGGCAGGGCCAGTCAAAGGTGGTATTTACCAGTCCGAACTACTCAAAATTTCCGCTACCGGTTCTCCAGAACCTGTCAGAACCTGCTGAATCCCACGTCTGCCCAAGAACCATAACATTCTTTGTTTCAGTGGAAGACTTAAGGCAGCTGACAATCACACAACACTTGTATTCAAATGTCCTCCTTAATTCGCAACTGACATTAGAACATGACCTGTCGGCTGTGACCAGGGGGGCTTTTGCCCGAG